TTCTTTCAAATATTCTGCTACAGAATTTCAAACACAAAGCATATACTTTTGCAGAACCTTTTAAGGCCAATTATATAGTATTTTACTGATCAGCTACTCAAATAATGCTATTCATGAGAAATAAAGAAATTTCATATAATAAATATGAAATAATAATATTCATATTTATTTCTCATGAAATAATTCATGAAAAATAAATATACGAATAAAGCTATTCATATCACTACATTGACTATGTAGTGATATGAATGAGAATATTGAAACCACTATTCTTAGTTTCTTATTAAAATTTGATGCATGAAGAGATTTTATTTGCCATTGGTGATATGCATGATATCTGCAGCAATTAAAAACTTTCAATGATATAGCATGCTAACTTGAGTAAAGGGATTGTAAATGATATTCTGCAAACAAGTGTTCATTAGAAATCATTCTATTCATATATAATGTTAAAGATAATAAGTTCAAAATTTTTTTATAAGTCATATTCTTATAATACAGCTACACCTACCAGCATGCAATTATTCCATCCTTCCCAAATTACTATTCATATAGTGAATTCCTAATTATATAGTTCCTATATTATGTAATGAATTCCTAAGTTTCAGGTGATTTTGATAATCTGGGGATATGGTCTCCTTAGAAAGCTTATACAGTACAAAGTACAAAGTCCGAAATCCGGATGTCCATTATCCGGAATGATCTAAAATCCGGACCTCAAAACCACCGCGCATTTGATTCCCCCTCTGCTATAATAAAACTGGGAGAGTCATCTATTTCACTTCGACATAAATAAATACCTGTTATTGAAGACAACACTTTAGCACAATTGTACCATTTTGGCTCTGTTCTGCGTATCTGCTTTTTGGCCACATCTCAAGCCAACATTCCACATAGATAATCGTTGATCTGACGCCAACCTGCAATCTTATTTGTTACGGTATAGACCATATTCCTTAAAGTTCTCCATGAAGGCTTCCTCCTCTAGGCAGATAGCCCTAGTGTGCTTTGCGATAATTAAATAAACCAAAACTTTTCTTCACCGCATGTTTATCAAAACATGACAACTTGAGTAATGACTCATGTAACAATGCCTAACATTTTTTTTTTATGTTAGTAATTGAATAATAAAGGAGTATGGTAACCTTTTATGGTGACATTACGCTTGGCAATGATTACAGATTTAAGTTAAATGCACTAAAATATGTTGACGAGGAATAATTTACCAAAAATTTCTTTCCATATGCTAAAAATGGATTTTCTTGATGATACTCATACACCCCAAAGATTACATTTAGGGCTATTTGAATTAAGTATAACTGATTCATTATTCACATAAACCCAGATCCAGTGCCAGGGCTTGTATAGCCGCACCGAGTCCAGAATTCAGGACCCACAGAGACTGTATCATGCAGTAAGATATCTAGCACCTGCCCTCAATAAGACTTAAGTATATGTGGAAATTTATTTATTCAGAACTCTGATAAGCCTTAGGCATGTGCAAGAAATATCTAAGTATAAATAACTAACAAATACAATTCAGGTTTAATGTTTCAGTGGCGAGAACAATAAATTTAACGGAACACTTGTTCGTTAGTCGCCAAGCTCACGAGCATACCAACTATGTATAATGAAGGATTCTAAATTTGATATGATAGCCCGCTATTTTAAAGGTTTCGGATGCCCAAAACAAAGGTAAAATTTCCAGTAACAGATTTTGTAAAGAAATGTGGAGAAGCGGTAAACAGAAGAATATAAAAGAAGTTTTTTCATTGTGATGAAACTGCTTCTCAATTATGAATATTCATCAATTATGAATGGCGAAATCTGTAGTTTGGTTTTAGATCCAGAAAATACCACTATTGCGTGCAGAAAGTGATTAAGTTACTGAAAACGAAAATTTTTGATTGACTTAGTCTTGAAAGAGCGTTACAGCTTACAATGGACTGAACAAGATTATGTCTTCTACAGAATTAAAGAGAAAGTATTGCATAAAAAGAGCAACTTAACACTTACATTAGAAGAAATGTTTAATAAGGTAAACAAATAAATATTAGCTTTTTTTTTTTTGTAAATTTTGATACCCTTTAGACCATAAATACTTCATTATTTCATAAATCCCGATTTCATATTTTTAATTTTATAATTTCAACATATCATCTTACTAGATTTAAACTGATGACCTAATATCCGGAAAAATTCCAAATCTGGAATCGCTGAAGTCCCGACGAGTCCGGATTTTGGACTTTGCACTGTATTTATTTATACTCTCAGAAATATTGGTTGCTTTTAGAAGCAATTATATAAGTGAGGTTGTTGTGGCAAGAACATTCATTGCACTTTATTTGTATATTTTTTAAAACCTCTCAAATAATTTGTTACTTCACAATGAAAATTAATTAACTTTGTGGCTTGACATGTACTGCACACTATATTTTGACTATCTTCTTAAATGAATTTTTTTTCGGTGTCACACTAATACACAGATTATTTCTGTATTATTTAATCATAAGAACTATCAAAACCTTTGCATTTGAAATTATAAAACTTTTATAAAATTAAATTTCGTAAGTAGGTTGAGAATTTCCTTCCTAATATCAGATCATTTAAAATTTTTTCCCTCCAACTAAGATATTAATTTTTTAAGGTTTTACATGATGATACACTTTCAACCATTTATACTATATAATTTTCATCAATTTAGACTTAGTCAGTCATTTGAATGTTAAACAATTCACCCTTCTTTCAGCTATGAATATTAGTATCTAACAATTTGTGATAGCAACTTTTTTTAACTAAAGCTATGGAACTATGAACGACAAAATATTAAATTACAATTTCTAATACTTCTTATGGCCTTATACTATATGTTTTTTACACAGAAGAAATTATTCAACTGCTATAAAAAATCATTATATTTGATTTGGCCTAAAATAACATCCAGCAGCCATGAGCCATATATACAATCATTTAATGCTTAATTAAACATGAAGCATTAAATATGATATGTACCTACAAAAGTTTAAATTTAGCAACCACTGTATATTTATACCACTATATATTTTCATTTCATATATTTTCATATGATGAATATATCGGAAATGATTCCATAAACACAAGATTATAATTCACTGGCAAATATTTATTATGTCCTGTTCGAAGTTCCTGGATAAATTTAAATAAATTACAGCATTTACTCCATGTATTACTGTGATGAAATTGTATCAGGAATGATTCCATAAAACACAACATTATGAGTTATTTCACAAGAATTCAGGTAATATTAACCATTTAGCAAGTTGATACAAATTTATGCTGCACAACACCACAACCAGTTAAGAAATATTATCTCTATTTTTAACCAATTCTGAATGGTTTCATATTTGCTTTACCTTTCAAGCCCCATTCACTTGACTGTTGAAATGTTTCTGCAACAAACGTACAGATCTAGATTTGATCATCAATTATAATACATTTTAATAGACACTTGCCAACAGAAAAGAATCTCTTGGGTTATTTAAACTTGTTGCTTTCGTAAAAACTCAAGAAGCAACATGCCCCAAGTTCAAGTGATTTTGAAAACTTAATTGACAGGATGATACATCAACTTATTCAGTAATATTCCTAACTTTAAGCTGTGTTTGTTGAGCACAAAACCCCTAGCTTAATCGATGTGTAGCTCATTAAGTAAAGTGGATGGTTCATGCTTGCCTTAGTCTCTGCTTCCCTTAAAACATCTTATATCTTATTATTGTCAAAGGGCTGTTTCAACAATTCAAACACTTCTGTACCACAAATTCCATTGCAAAAAGAAAACTTAATGCACATTCTTTGTTCAAATACATTTGTCATTTTGGGCAAATGCGAGTACTTTTCTTTTATCAGGACTGAATTCAGAAATGTACATATGTACTCATGTATGTACGCTGTGGAAAAAAAAAAAAAAAAAGGCGGGAGGGGGCAGTTCTATATCTTCCATCCTACTAGGATAACGGACGAAATTCAAGTTGCATTTTTCATGTCTCTTAATATATGGCAACCTATTTTTCTTACCCTTCCATTAGCAAAAGCAGAAGAAAAGTCACATCATTCCTACATTTTTACATTATGCATGAGCGGAAAAAAAGTCACATCGTTCCTACTTTCAAATAATTTTAACAAAGTGCCTAAACCACATTAGATGTTTTTATTTCTTTCAGCAAATATGCCAAATTTCAAAACGTGCCAATATATAAATTCATGTATACTTTCGGAAATTTTAAATAAAAAACTGTAATTTTTTGCAGATTTGCTTAGAAATACAGCTACGTTAAGATAATGGTACAATTTTTATAATTCGGTTTTTTTGAAAATTTTATAAAAATTATTAAAAAATAGATCGCCATAAAAAATGGGCGAATTTTATTTGGAATGAACCTAAATTTTGAAATGTGAAAGGAAGAATCAAATAAGTTTAATAAAAAAAGAAAGAATAATAAATATATACCAAAATCAATTAACATTGAGGAGCTAAATGTTTGAGTGCTAATTTTGTAAAAACTACTCGTGCGATTTTTACAAAATTTGGCATAATTGAAATATAGAAAAAAAGGCATGTCATTTCAGAAAAAGTCCAATTTTATGCTAAAATACCTATATTAGAACAATACTGTATATAAATCTAATACATATCCTTAGTCATGCTTTCGAGACATGAAAAATGCAAGTTTAATTTTGTCAACCGGCTCAGCAGAAGAGGGGATATAGAACTGTCCCCCCTTTTTTTGCGCAGTGTACATGTGAATGTATGCGTACATGTACATATGTATGTGTGTGCATACATACATATGTGTATACAGACACACACATATATGCATATGAAAAAACACATACATACATTTCTGAATCCAAACCCAATAACAGAAAAAGCATAAAATTGTGAAAGTAAATATTGTAAAAGAAATGTTGATGGTAACTGTAATAACTTTCAAAAAAAAAAAAAAAAAAAAAAAAAAAAAAAAAAAAAAACTTTGCAAAGTGATATTTTGCACATTTATATTTTGAATATATCATTTCTGACACTGTTTGATCAGAATATTGCACAGCTTTGAAGAAAATATATTTAATTTCACTCTCAACAACAAAATCTATATATGCAAGTATTAATAATGAATTTACACTTTCTGAGTATACTTATCTCAAATATAAAGCAGAACAATTTCTTTTACATTCAGATAACATCCCAAACACATACCTGTGCCTTCCTTACGTCAAGGTAAAAAAGACATAAATTTAAAAAAATCAGTAAAATGTTATAAATATAATAAAATGAATGTTTTGAAAACAGAAAATGCTGATATAAATTTTATACTTCAGAGGATAAGGAGACAAAGCCTAGCAAAATCAAAAATATACACAAAACCACATTATTTTAAGAGAGACAGATTTAAAAAATAAATTAATAAAAATGATTCAGATTTTCATAAATGATATGTAGATGGAAATGCATACCTTTTTTTTTATAATTTAACCACTTGCCTGATTATCCTGGTTCGTATATATTGCAGATAATTATATCCGGAGAAAACTCGGGCAAAGCAGAATTTGTTAGTACAATTTGTTTTATCACGGTTTTACTCGGCCTGGAGGAAATGAAAGGAAATATTCAGCTTTGACTGCCAGTTTGCCAAATTTTGATGGTTGCGAGTTCTTTGGAGAGACTGGTCAGGTGTTTCCCTGTTGTATAGTATAGTATACATCCGATTGTGGATTAGTAATGTATAAAGAAGGATATATGCGTTGAAAAAAATAAAATAATGGTGATGATGCAAGATAGCGAAAGCGCTGATTTTTCAGATAGTAATTATGAAGAGGTGGAAAAAAAATAATATTAATAAAAAAAAATTAAATCCAACGAGAGTGTACTTTGTGTTCCCGTAAAAGAGATTCCAGCGGTAAGCCAGTAAGAAAAGAGACCAGATTACCAGTGCATAGAATGTCAAGTATCACTTTGTGTTGTCCCCTGTTTCAAAAACTAGCATACAAACACTAATACAGTCAAAAGTCTTTAATCCGGACTCGTCGGGACTTCGGCGATTCCGGCTTATCGATCATCAGTTTAAATCTGGTAAGATGGCATGCAGAAATTATAAAATTAAAAATATGAAACCGTAATTTATAAAATAATGAGCAATTATGATCTAAAGGGTATCAAAATTTACCAAAAAAGAAGCCTAATATTTATTTGTTTTACTTTTTAAACATTTCTTTCAACAACGCGCGGATGCGTAAAGCATACCTTACGCATAGCCGAAATTAGAAAATTGCAACCAGAAAACTATTTGATTTGTATTCGTGGTATTTATAATGACGAGGAATTTGATTTAAATCATATCAAAGACGGAGTACACATCGAAATTAAATACTACATTTAGTAAGGAATTATAAGCTGAATAAAATAAAAACATCTGCTCTGAAGATAACGATAGTGTTGACAAATCAACTTCCAGTTCATTGCGCGCAGCGACGTCTCCCCCCCCCCCCGCGCAGAGCAGCGTGAAATTGATAAACAGATTTCGGAAAGGTTAGATAAACAAAGAATATGCCTTTATCCATTTTTTTGTAGCAATTCGTTTTTTGTTTGATGGACATCGAAACATACTTTCGTTTTCTAGATCCTTTGGGAGCTCCAGCATCGGAAATTCTATTTGACACAATCAAAAGTTCAAGCTTACTTTTAGAAAATTGCTCTTACAGTCTGCAAAAAATAATAAGCCGGATCCAATTCGAAGATTAAGCAACAACGCAATCATCAACATTAACTGAAATAGATAATTTTAGCTTATAGCGTCCGTTATACATTAAACGCGCACGCGAAAACGTATTCTGCACTTGCGCAGACGCATATGCGCAGTCGTAAATGTCTTGGGCGCACGAGTAAAACGCCTATGCGCATGCGTCAATGCGGCGCATGCGCAGAAAGATTTTAGCTTTGAGGTCCGGATTATAGATCATTCCGGATTATTGGTGTCCGAATTAACGACTTTTGACTGTATTTAACTTTTTTGTTTGTCCGAGATAACTCGAGATAGTAAACTAATATTAAAACAATACTTTTACACTTTCAAAAAACTAAAAATTTAGCTAAAACCTACATATTTTGATTTGTTTCGTTTCGTTTAATTTAATAATAAAATAAAAAAATGCATCGATTTTTTGCAATTTAAAAAAAAAAAAATTGTAAGGGAAGCAGTTAAATGCTATATGACTAAATATATTTAAATGCTATATAAACTATGTATCAGTTTATAAAACTACAATAACGGCATAAGGTTTAATTTCTTCAGCTAATTCATGTAAATGATAAAAGCAGTTATAGAATATAATGATAATTATAAATCTCAAAACTGCACATTTTTTAACATTCTTAACCTTAAATCAGTGTAAAAATGTTCAGTTCTTTCCCCTACTATTTCTGAATGCGCTTGCAAGAAGTGAAGAATTATATAAAAAGGATACAATTTTTTGCCAGTTGGATGGATTTTTTCCTCGTGTCTTTTCTAAATGATTCTTTTTACTTAATTCTTTGGCACGTGCTTCAAAACTTTCCTTGAGATCTTTCTGAAATAATTAAATAAATGAATGAATAGCTTCATTGTGAAATGTTTACAACTTCAAATATTCAGTAAAATCTACTACACATTAAAGAGACTTCTTTTTATTTAGATTCACCTTAAGTGGCCAAATGTTAATTCAGATATTTTTTTCAGAAATAAAATTTCTGTTGCAAAATCTAGAAAAAAGCAGTTACATAATAACTAATGTCCTCTTATTTAACTCAACTTTCTATACTTACTTGAAAGCTTAGTTTTTAAAACTTATGCTACAGCTAGCAGTTCATAAATTTATGAGTTTTAGATCACAGTTGCTTCATGTAAATTATTTTCCAAGAAGATTTTACTATTTCTTTAATTTAAGATAATTTGAAATTACCAACTCAAAGAAACAAGACTGACATGAAACTCAAAGCATTGGAATGGATAGAAATTTTACATGATAACAGAGAATCAGTGAACTGAATACTGTAGAAATTATTTTGATTACAATGTTGCATGTGTACGGATTCATAGTAGATTGAATGCACCAGTGTAATAAAAGGTTAATAAAATTTATTCTTATTGCAAGAATAAATAACAAAATGTTACGGAGATATTCGTACAATATCACAATTCATGCAATATGATCAGTAGCTTTACTTTAAATTACTCAAAGAGTTATAATACAATGCAATGCAAAGAGAAAGCTAATCCAATCTCGCTGTGAATTTGGAAAAAAAAAAAAAAAAAAAAAAAAAAAAAAAAAAACCACAGCTAGCTAAACAGTTGAGATGAGATGTTCTCTGGCGTTTTATAGCTTTAAATAAATCGCGAGAGATTCTAGTAATTTCTGCTTCTCAAGATTTCTGGGGAAAAAAAGGAGTTACGGTTACAGCGAACATAGTAGTCAATTACACTTATCCAAATTAAATATAAATTACTGAGATAAACTTTTATTCAATGTTAAATGCACATGCTCCTGCATTTTTACTTTTTCTGGCATAGCTTTCTCTTAAAATTTATCAGATGCTGCATTGCATGGGGAAATACAGTTTCAATAACAATTCTACTAAAAATATCCAACTAAATACTGAATTCATAACATTGCTCCCTTCCCAAGGGCTGCACGCCCTGGGCAGTACAATCCTCGGACAGAAAGCCATACTTACAACCAAAGCATTAATAAAAAAATAAAAATTACAATACAATAACAAAAAACATAAACATAATTACAATAAGTAACATAAAACATATCAAATACTTAAACAATAAATGAGTGAACAAATTTACAAATTTAGAAATGAAAAGGACCATGGTTGTATACTATTTACATTACATACACTACATACTTAGTAAGAACTTAGTAAGGACCTAGCCTGTCGTAATGAACGAGAGTTCGATGACTTGTTGGTGTTCGAGATGACTTGATGACTGTCGTAACGAACGAGAGTTCGATGCAGATCCGAACAACAACATCGTTCAGCCTGTTCAAGATTGTGTATGGATCATCCCAAGGCAGTTGTAGTTTAGGACAGAGTCCTTTCCATCAAATCAGATTCCACAACCACAGCTTGTCTCCTTCTTTGAATCGATGTCCAGTAGCTCTTGTGTAGTATAGGGTCTTACTCTTCTCCATCGCCAAGCTGACTCACTCTGGTGCAAAATTGTACATCACTTCAAACTGGGCCTGGAGATCGTGGATGTATTCTTGAGACGATGAAGGCGCATCCAGAGAGCGAACAAACGAGAAATCACAAAGCAGATAAAGGTCACGACCTAAGAGCATATGAGATGGGGAATAGCCGGTAATCTCGTGGACAGCACTGCGGTAAGCCAGTAAAAACAGCGGTAACTTCTTGTCCCAGTCCTGTTGGTTTCTGGAAACCACCAATGAGAGGTTATGGGATAGTTCAATTAAACCTCTCTAGCATGCCGTCTGACTAGGGATGTAAAGGCCGCCTCATTTGGGTTTTGTCAATGGCGAGTAGTTTGCAGAGTTCTTTGATTACAGCTGAGGTACAATTCCTTCCCTGATCAGACTGTTAACTGAAGAGTCACTTTGAACCTGGAAATCTAGTGCTGTGTCATTACCTCTACTGTGACAGCCTCTTGATCAAGAATAGGACATGCTTCAAGCCACTTTGTGAAGTAATCAATGACAATGTATTTGTTGCCATCAGGAGTTCGCCAATTTAGTTTTGTTGTAGGACTATAGTTCGAAATGTCCTGCCCTGTAGGTTTTCTTATTTGAAGACTCTGTAAATTCAATTATGGGATTAATGTTGCTGTCTTCCAGCTGGACTTTCCTGACTTCTTTGTCACTCCATGGGTCTCGATCAGCCGATGTTGATATTGTAATTTGTAGTGTGACCAGATTAAGCAGCTTGTATTTTGCTTTAACCCTAGAACAATATTGGCAGCTTTCTGGGAAAGGTTTTCTAGATAGAGCATTGGCACTTCCCTGTGACAATCCCTTTTGATAATGGATAGTAATGTCATATTCCTGAAGTCTCTGTATCCACCTGGTAATTTGACCTTCAGGAATCTTGAAATTTAAAAGCCAGGTCAACGAAGCATGATCCGTGTGGAGTAGGAATTTTCTGCCGTACAGATAATGATGGAAATGTTCTACAGCTTTAACTATGGGGAGCAACGCTTTCCTGGTGACACAATAATTCCTCTCTGATTTAGACAGGCACCTTCTTCAGTAGGCCATGACATGTTCTTTGGCCATTTATTTCCTGGGACAAAACAGTACCGACACTGTCATTGCTTGCATCTGTGTCGAAAATAAATGGTCTGTCGAGTTGAGGATATGTCAGGATTGGAGATATTAAAGCTTCCTTCAAGCTGTTAAATGCATCCTCACATTCTTTTGTCCACAAGAACTTTTGCTTGCTTTCTGTCAGTTTGTGAAGGAGTCTTGTGATGGAAGATCGGTCCTCGACAAATCTTCTGAAGTAAATGCAAAGCCCTCGGAAACTTCCTAGCTGGTGAACATTTTCAGGATGTCTCTAGTCTTTAACTGCTGACACTTTTTCTGGATCAGTACACACATCTTCAGCAGAGATGGCATGTCCAATGTAAGTCACTTCCTGTCTGAATAATTTACATTTACCGGGACTCAAATTTAGATTTGTTTCTTTCCAATTCTGAAGCAAGATTTTCTAGATGTTCTTTGAAACTCTTTCTGATGATGATGATATCATCCAGGTATATTTGTAGGAAAGACCTCTTTCAAAACAATTTCTATGAGGCGTACAAATGTTGCCGGCACATTACAGAGTCCAAACAGCATTACCTTGAACTGCCAAAGTCCTTATCCCGAACTAAATGCCGTCTTTACTTGGTCATCAAAATGTATCTCTACTTGCCAATATTTACTCTTTAGATCAAGTATCAGAAACCACTTGTTATGAGAAAGAGTGTCCAGAATATTGTTGATTCTAGGAAGACGGTAGCTGTATTTCTTCGTAACATCGTTCAGCTGGCAACAGTCAACACAAAAATCTAGTTGAATTGTCTTCCTTTTTCACTAGGATGATAGGAGATAGCCAGGGACTCTCTGAAGGCTTGATGATACTGCTTTTTTGCATATCCTTTAGAAGTTTTCCCACCTCTGTTTAGCAATCGGCAGACGTCTTGGATGCTGTTTAATTGTTGGGTGATCCCCAGTATTGATTCTGTGGTGCTTCAAACTGATTCGACCCACGTCAGAAGATGAGTGGGAGTACACATCTTGAAATTCTTAAATGACACATTTGTTAGCATTCCTCTCACTTAATTGCACATTCTGTTTTAACTCTGATGTAATGGTCTCTGAGAACATGGATTCTGGAGTGTTACCGTTTCAGTTAATGGTCCTTGATAGGTCGACAAGTGCTGAAGCTACTAGTATACCTTTCGGGCTGTTACAGTTCTTGGGATATTCTATGAATCCGTAGCAAAAATTTCTGTTTTTGGCTATGGATCCAGGAAGCAAAAATTATGTTCCTGTGGGTATTATGATATCATCTTGAGCTATGATTTTGTGGATAGATTTCACATCTTCATCATTAATTCCGAACAGGGCTATGTCCTCAGAGGCAGAATGCAATTTGTTAAGTCCAAGGAAAAATTGTATTTCCTTAGAAAGTCCAATCCGAGTATGCAAGGATCTGTAATCTCTGCCAAATATGCCATGTGATGGTAGGCAGCACTTCCAAATGAGATATTAACGTTTAATTTTCCATCAATGTCGATTTGATCATCGGATACAGTCTGGAGGGTAACGCAGGGCGTCATCAAGATGAGATTACCTTCTTGAGCCAAATCTTTTTGAATGATTGTAACATTGGCTTCTGTGTTGATGATCATATTGCAAGAAACTCTGTTGATATATCTCATTATGAAAAGTCCATTACTGCTCCCACTCATTATGTGACAACCTTCACCCCACAAGATGGCCACTAATAGTTTCCTTCCTTCTTGCTAGGAGCAGTCTTAACATCTGTGCCCTGGGGTTTCCTGCAGTTTCTTCAGTTGTGCCCTAGAGCATTGCAGCTGCAACACTTATAGGTGGGTTTCTTGTCACTAATATTCTGTCTCAAGGCATTGCATTGTCTAGTTAAATCATCTAGACCAATGGTTCTCTACCTTTTGACTAACGCGTACCATCTAAACAAAAATTTAAAACCTTTAGTATCATCACTATAAAGAACTACTACCACAACCACTCTTGAACAAAGCTCAGATCGCATAAGTTTACGAGTGTTAGAGAAAAAACTTAATCAGGATGTTGGGGTTTTTTAATTTTTGAATTTAACCTTTTAACTGTCAAGTTATTTTGATGATTTGGGTGCATAAAATTGTCAATTTTTTTGATTTCAAAAATGAAAGTTTGCCTTGCAATTAAAAAAAAAAAAAAAAAAAAAAAAAAAGCTGCACAATTTGAACTTTAACCTCTATCCTTTGAAACCTTCAATAAAGTCCTGCCATCTGTTGAATTGAAGCCGAAATAAACTTCTCACGATACATATTAGGGTATCACAATACGATGCATTCAAAAAAAATTAGCCCGAGTAATGTTCAGGCTTGACATTTTGGAATACCAGTGCTGTGCCCGAGGTCATTTCGGGCATGACAGTTAAAAGGTTAAGAGTTAAAAATACTTCTTTGCGTACCACCGGTTGAGAACCCCTGGTCTAGATGAACAGTGACTTGTTCCTTTGGCTCCTGGACTTGAGAAGCTCTGATTGAGTGTCGGTCTCTACGTGTTGCTTGCTGGGCTGCCTTGAATTTTATGGCATACATTAGAGTGCTGTTTAAATCCTTGACATCTGCCATTTGTAGAGCTTTCTGTATTTCAGGATCCCGGATGCCATCGATAAAGTACTGCAGAGACAGGGTTTCCCTTGTTTTTATCGGGCATTCTGAAAAGGTGAGATGAGACAGCCTTTCAATAACCATGGCAAGTTCCTGGAGAGTTTCCGTGGGCTTCTGTTGACAAGATTTTAATTGAAGCCTGCCGTAATCTTTTAAATACTTCTCCCTAAAGCACGGCTTCAACACACCGGTCAGAGCTTCGAAATCTAGTCTTTTGTTTTTGGGAAGAGTCTGAAGGATATCTGCTGCATCTGCTCTCAGAAAAGCGGCGAGATGACACGCCTTATTGAGAATTCGCATAAAAAAGTAACAACAACTAGCTAAAAAACAACTGAGATGAGATGTTCTCATCTGGCTTGCTATAGCTTTAAATCGGTTATGTGACATTCTAGTAATTTCTGCTTCTTGAGTTTTCTGGAAAGCAAAGGAGCAGAATTACAGTTACAGCTAACATAGTAGTCAATTACATTTATCCAAATTAATACAAATTACCGAGATAAACTTTTATTCAGTGTTGGGAAATAAAACAGTTTTAATTATAACAAATATCTAACTAAATACAAAATTTGTGACAATAAATAAATGCACCAGCGTCCAGAAAAATGACATGCTTTTTTGCTTTATGCAGATTCCCCATACTCTTTTTTTTTTCCTTGATTTGAGGAGATGTGAGTTTGATAGGAGAAATTAAGTTCCTCTAAAATTTGATTCTCTTTAAGTTGATTTGAACCACAAATGTATATAAATGTAAATATTGTACAGATAGATATTAAACATCTTCTATTTTGAACTTCTGAAGTTTTGATCTTTAAAAACAAATGCATAAGCACTGATAAGAAAAAGTGCCAGGAATGACTGTATATGCAAACAGAAATCCTGAATATTTTAGTAAGCAAACAGAAAAGTTTTTCTCAAGAAAGTACTTTGCAAGGAAGCCAAAAAGTGAAATGTACCAATTTTCAGATCATGAAAGGATAACCTTTATCATCTATTTCACAGGAATTAAGAATGTGACTGATGAAGAATGTGGATTTCATAGACCTTCCAACCATCTATTAATTAGGAATGATATGAGTGAAGAAAGTATTGTCAGCTGGAAAATTGGTTCAGCTCTTTAGTATTTTTTAAAGACAGCCTTTAATGATCAGATCCTTCAGAAATATCTTATATTATTGTCCCTATAAAATTTTTTTCATCTGTCTGTTAACTAACATTCATAAAGAGAACAGAATTTTGCCAAACTGTGACCTAAGTCATCTCAAGAAGACAGATCAAAGAGACTATTTGTAGACCAGTAGAAAAAAAATTTTTTTTCTTTAGAATTTCAGACTTTTATTAACAAAGATATAAATTACTGTGTATTCTTATAATAGAAGTAAATTTCTTGAAATAAACATTACCTTAGCTTGTTTACAAATACTGCTGTAGTTTGACAACTCAAAAATCACTTTCATTTCAGTCCTTTGTATCTAAGGAAAAATAGTGAACATCAGATGAAATTTTTCACAAATATTAAGTACCTCCAAAAGTATGCATTTCACATTTATAATTTTATGAATACAAAGGAATGACAAGCACAAAATGGTTTGTAAAACAACTAAGCAATGGAAATATTACAAACAACTTACTTCAGTGTCTCTATATTCTTGGACAGAAGATAAAATATCTGAAAACTGACCAAGTGCTGTTCGTAAGGTATGATTCAAATTTTCTGCTGATGCAAAATGCAGAATGCATTTTGCAAGGTCATCACCACTGTCTCTCACATGAGCAATTTTTTTTACATACGCAGATATTTTAGAGTTGATATCTAAAATATGCTTCTCTGCATTATTTATTCTTTCTTTAATGAAACTATGTTCAAGTTCACTAAAAAAAAAAAAAAAAAAAAAAAAGAAGAAGAAGAAGAAGAAGATATATTTTGGTATGCAATAATGTTAAAATGTCACTTTAAGATCAACAAACAAATGAAAATATTTGATAAAAGGTTGTATTAATTTACTGGATAAAAGTATATCAGCTTGAAATTTCAAATCAGTTACCCTCCCTCCTTGAAATCCTAATGAAAAGTATCCATTAACCCGTTGACTGCCACAGCACTTTTCGGATTCCGGTGTGAGAAGCCAAATCGATTTAATCATATTATATTATTAAAAATACTAATTATGATTCGTAACAATCATTAAAAAGTTTACAGGATTTTTTTGTAGAAAAAAGGGTCCTACGAATTATCTCGTTGTCGGCTTCTGATAGACAAAGCTCTTCGCAAAAGCCCACTACAAGGTTATTTGTACAGACATGCTTCGACTTGTTGCCTCGGTACAGCTAAATCAAGCGTCAAGCGAGTAAGTAACTCATAGCAACGAAAAAGTGACAAGTCAAGAAACTACGAGATAACTCGTATTGAACGTCCTGAAAAGCGCGCTAATACGAGTTATCTATGTTGGGCAGTCAACGTGTTAAGCCTAACATCACCAAAATTGGTACCTCATGAGGCTACCAAAATTTATTTATAAGGCAACCCATGTATGCATGCATATGCATCAGTTGACTGCAGGTCATTAGCGTTTTTCTTGTATTGGTCATTTGTGTTTGCTTTTATTGATGGTCATTAGTGTTAATTTTTGTTGCATTGAGTATATTTTTTTTGTATAAGAAATCACAATGGTGCTGAAGAATTTGCTATATAAATAAATATGAACATCATGCATATGATGTTTTGCCTAACACAAAATGAATGCAAAAATTTACATTACATGAAGCTGTACTTCGTAAATGATCAAACTTTATGGACTTTGTGATAAATGATCAAATTCAAAAAACTGGCTTCTAGACACTGACAACTTCATGATGAGACTATAAGTTTTAATGGTATGAGATATAACATATTTAAGATGATCTGTCAGCTATTATCCTCCAAAATTAACAGAACTATGATTTTGAAACAATCAGATATAGTTCGACCGTCTCAAACGCAACCCTGGTTTTTGTACTAGTTTCCTATAATTCTTTTTTTATATTTACAAATTTAAAAAAAAATTGATAAATTTTTGTGGAGTTCATTCATCAGAATGAAACAACAGACCATCAATAAGCAAATGGCAAAAGTTATGCAATCTGCAATCTTGTTTTCCCATTCTTTTGGTGCTTATGTATTATTCCATTTTATACATATGGCATTGCTGTTTTGTACGAAATACTCTTGTAAAGCCTGAATATCTTGAGTTGCATTGTAGAAATTCATAGTGTGGTCCTGAAGTCTTTTCTGAACATGGTTAACCTTGGCAAGTACAGAATTCCAGAATTGAAGAAGAACAAAAAACTCAAAAGATCTCATGGAACAACTGAATTGCATTAATTATTACACCTGCATTTTCATCCTGATCCATTGCAATATTTCCAAATAGTTCTACTAAGTTTTTGAGTTGATCATGTACCGGTTTAGCACCTCCTACTTTGGCACTCCAATGAGTTTCTGATTCTGACTTCACTGATACACCTAGAGCAGTGTTTAGTCTTTTCCATTGAAGATTTGACCTTGAAAAATAAACATAGATACCTTGTACAGTACTAAACGACATTACAGTTGCTACCTCACGACTAGCAGGATAAAATCCAAACTAAATTAAGTGTATGATTATCAGACTTAACAAATACAGCTTTTGAGTTAAGTGTTCTAAGTCTTTGTTGCACTCCTGATTTATAGCCTGACATTACAGGTGCGCGGCACTGGGATCGAGAGTCTTCAAAAGCTAATTTGTTCTTCTCTAGTTGCTGTAATATTACACCCACAATACCTGCTGCGTCTTTTTTATAGGTTTGAATGAATCCTAGGAAATATGCTTTTATAACTACAGGTTTTTACAATTTAATATCTATATATCTAATAGTTTCTGACATTTGCTCTAACTGTAGTTGCCAGAAGCTGGATAAATTTATTTTGTATTTCTGGTGAAAGATATGTAGTCGATTCTAGATTTTCTTGCACATTCGAAAGGTGGGTCTTCATAATTGGATCAAATTTTACAATAAGCTTCAGACGTTCTATTAAATTTCCACCATTTCTTTGACTTTCAATGGTATTCTCAATGGATTCTTTGACTTTCAATGACTCTGTGGCCTGTTAAAGCTAAATTTTTTGGCTACATACCCTGTGCAGCACAACACTCTCTTAAGTACTTGTTGCCATTTTTTCCTTCTCTGCAGCAATTTGATTTTGAAGCTGTGCATCTATTAAACTGTCTTTTTTTATCAGCCTTTTTTCCATTTCTTTCCAAGTCGTGAAAGAATTTGTGTGCCTTTGGGAATTCCCATGTGTAGTTCTCCAACTATTTAAACCAAATATTGAAAGACATGTACTTCATCCTCGATTTTCCTGAACATACAAAAGGTCACCCTTCATTAATTAGATAGAATTCTGCAATAAGCTCCAGAAGTTCTATTAAATTTCCAGCGTTTCTTTGGCTTTCAATGGTTACTTTTGTGGCCTGCCATGACTAAATACTTTATGCAGCACAACAACCTCTTAAGTACTTATTGTCATTTTTCTTTCTCTGCAGCAATTAATTTTGAAGCTGTGCATCTATTAAACTTTCTTGTTTATCAGCCTTCTTACTATTTCTTTCCAAGCTGTGAAAGAATTTCTGTGTCTTTGGGAATTTTCATTTGTAGTATTTTTTCCTGGATTCTTCCAACTATTTAAACCAAATATTCAAAGGAGAATGTTGGGTGGCCATAATTAAACTGAAAGTGCTCACAGTGTTCTGTAGCGTGATCTAATTGCGAGAATGACGCCACATTTTGTAGGAAGATTAAACAAGACGGGGGACAAAGGATTTCGGGAAAAAACAAATTAGTTTCAAAAGTCACCGCTAGGGGAATATTTGGCGCTGTATAATAGAAAATAGAGTGTAAACAAATGCAAATTAATACAGAATAAAATTACCTTTTATTATGCACATTTTCTGATTTAGTTCAAGTGCAATATGGCAACACTTTTAAAAAAGTCTAAAATCCACATAAACACCGATAAAGTCTCGTGATCTGCAATATCATGTACGCTGAGCAGAAGAAGAAGTTCTTTATTCAAATTTCAAATTACATCCATTCGCACAGTGCCAGCTGCTTGGGTTTTAAAAGGCAATGTGTTATGTTTCAAATCAATCGGATTGAAAGTTTATGTGCAATGTCTCCTTCTTTAGTCGAGTGTGCGTTACTGGTCAAATTCTTTTACCTCAACCAGTGCAACGTGTCAGCCACTCTTCGTGCTTTTAGAATGCACAAAAAAAATGCGTAAAGGTAACGGTCCTGTGTCAGTTAATGGGCTAAAAGCAATGGTTGCGACGTTTGAGAAAACAGGTTCTCTGAAGGTTCAGTCAGGCAGAGGACGAAAACCTGTACCACAGGATACAATCGAAGCAGTTGCCACGGCGATTGTCGACAGAGGACCAGACAATATTGCTGCCACCTCTAGCGCTCTCGTGGAGTAGCTCGGAATATGGATATGCCTTACAGTACGGTATGGAAAATCTTACGAAAGATTATCAACTTCTATCCGTACAAGATCAGCCGTGTACAGGAGTTACTGTACCCCGACCATGATAAGCGATTGACTTTTGCTCTCACCTTTCTTGCCAGAATGGAGGTGGATGATGCTTGGCCGTGGAAAATCTTATGGGGAGACGAGGCCCACTTTTACCTGAATGGAACTGTGAATACCCAGAACTGCCGAATTTGGGATGACAAACCACCACATGCAGTCACAGCAATTCCCTTACATTCACCAAAGGTAACTGTTTGGTGTGGGTTCACAGCGGAATTTATCGTAGGTCCATTCTTCTATGAGACATTACCCGACAGGACCGGAAACCTGTTCTGTTACCGGAGATCGCCACATGTTGAACAGCTTTGTCATTCTGGCACTTTAGCAAAGACAATGCTTGGGGAAAATCATTTTCATGCAAGATGGAGCCGCTCTGTTACAACTCGAATGCGAAATGAGCGAAAGTTTCTCTTCAGCCAGTGGCAACGGGGAGTCGAAAAACGAACTTGGAAGAGAGCGGTCGCTCTTTCGGTTTCTCTCGATAGAATTTAATACGAAGGGGAGATAATTCCCATCTTTTGATTTGAAATTAATCTCGAATTATGTATATATTGTAATATAAAAGATGTGTGTAAATAAAAATCATTAAGACTTAACTGAAGTAGTGATTTGAATCGAATATAGAAATCGAAAGCTCTCCCAAATAGAACAATAGATCATAGAAATAACATTTTAGTGGTGCCTTCACCAAGGGACTTTTGGATTAGAATTTTGAAGATTAGCAGATGGATTACCTGTAAACAGGTAAGCAATTCCTTTCTCTTTGAAAATTTAGAAAAAAAAACCAAGTTTCAATATTGTGATTAGTCAATCAATTTTAAACATGGAAGCTTTAGACAAACTGAAGCAGAAACATACGAATGAACGCAGTAGCATTACAAAAATAGAATCTTTATTATCAGAAAATATCGAATGTCAGTGAATAAGAGTCAGTGAAATGTCAGTGAATGTCAGTGAATCGTATGTCAGTGAAATGTCAGTGAATAAGAGTGATCGAGATTTCTTACGATTTTTATGGTGGAAAGACTTTGACAAGGAGGAACTTAAGAGTTTTTAGACATAAACGCGTTGTTTTTAGATTGAATTGCAGTCCCTTTTCATTGGCTGCTGTATTAAGTCATCACATTCATCTAAATTCGTCTAAATATCCTGAAACAGCAGAAAATTTAAAAGAATCATTCTACGCAGATAATTGCATTAAATCTGTTTCTGATGAAGAAACACGCGATTCATCGAGGAATCGAAACAAATATTACATTCTGCGTCATTCGATCTGAGAGGGTGGGAGCACCCTCTCAGATCTGACCCTTCTCTTTTGAAATCTGAGAACAGTATAGAACCTACTCCTGTATTGGGAATTTTGTGGGATAAGGAAGATAATAGCCTTTTCTGTGAGGTGAAGACTGCTACTTACAAACCAGTGAATCTTACTAGAAGAAATATATTGTCTGCGGTACATCGCATTTTCGACCCCATGGGTTTTCTCTGCCCTATAACGCTAACACCTAAACTACTCATACAAAAGACATGGTTGTTAAAAACTGGTTGGGATACAAATATACCCGAAGACTTAGGAAAAGAGTTCTATTTGTGGATTGATGATTTGTCACTTTTATCCAGTATTAGAATTCCAAGGGCTTTAGATATAAATGGAAATGGAAGTCTTAGTCTTCATATGTTCTGTGACGCAAGTAAACAAGCCTATGGATGTGGTGATTTATTTAAGAAAAGAAACAAGTGAAAATGTATCGGTGTATTTTCTTCTAGCCAAAAGTAGAGCGAGTCCATTAAGAAAAATGACCATAAATCGTCTAGAATTATTATCCTGCTGTATAGGAGTCAGACTCGCAGCTCTTGCTTTACAAACACTCAAATTAGACAACGTTCCAAAGAATTATTGGACAGATTCGAGTACTGCTCTTTCTTGGATCCAAAGAGATGACCATTGGGCGCCATTTGTCGCAAATAGAGTAAAAGAGATACGAAAATTGTCATCGGAATCTGAATGGCATCACATTCCAGGAAATTCGAATCCAGCAGATATACCATCACGAGGGTGTTCGATTAAGAGTTTTGTGAAATCTCGCTGGTGGCAAGGGCCAGAATATCTTATGAAGAACGATGAAGAGTGGCCAACTAGTGAAGTGATTACTAACGAAGCAGAAATTATGAAAGAAAAGCGAAAGAACATTATTTCAACTTTGGCTAATATCACCGCTGAAAATTGGTATCTGATTTACTTTTCAAGTTACTTTAAAATTGTAAGAATGATTTCTTGGATTCTAAGATTCATAAATAATTGTAGACATGGAGGAAGAAATTCTGGCAAAACCCTGAGTGTTGAAGAATTGGACATTGCTGAGAAGAAATTAGTGAAGATTGTTCAACAAGACACATTCTCTAGTGAAGAACTGTTGAAGGGACATTTTACTTTCAGGGATGAAGAAGGGATTATAAGATTGAAAACGAAGATTTTGAGAAGACATGATGATGAAAACTTCTGGTGACCCATTGTACTTCCATCCAAACATGAATTAGTAGAAAGAATGATACAAGACTACCATTTACAACTTTTACATGCTGGTACTCAAGTTCTTTTGACCAACATTCGTAAAAAATTTTGGATAATAAAAGGAAGAAAAACAGTACAAGGAGTCATATCAAAATGCGTTCGGTGCAAAGAGACACTCGGCGAAAGCTCTTGATACAGTGCCTTGTTCTCTCCCAGAAGAAGATCGAGTCAGAGATGCTTATGCATTGAGATGAGGTGACAGGTGTTGATGTAGCAGGACCACTTTATTTAAAAGAAAATAGAAAAGCTTGGATCTTGCTTTTTACTTGTGGAGTTTATCGTGCGGTTCATTTAGAATTAATTGAAAGCTTATCGACTAATGGATTTTTTCTCGGATTTAGAAGATTCATAGCACGAAGAGGACGGCCTAGAGTAGTATACAGCGATAATGGCACAAATTTTGTAGGGGCAAGGAATTTGCTCCGATCTGTTGACTGGAACCAAATTATCAGAAGTTCTTCGATAATGAAAATTCAGTGGAAGTTAAATCCACCAACCGCAGCATGGTGGGGCGGCTGGTGGGAGAGACTGGTTCAGATGATCAAGAAATTATTGAGAAGAGTCCTGGGAAAAGCATTACTTTCATATGAAGAAATGTTAAACTATCCTATGTGATGCAGAAGCAAATATCAACTCCAGACCATTAACATACGAGTCAGAAGATTCCACCGATTTATGTGCACTCACTCCATTTATGTTTATTCAGGATGTGCGAACTGAAGGTGCTCCGGATCTGGGCAGTTTGGATAAAATCAACTTATTGAAAAGATGGCGATACCACCAAAAGTTACGTGTGAAATTTCGTAAAAGATTTAGAGATGAATATCTTGGTATGTTAGTACATCGACCAAAGCCTATACCTACGCGAACCATCAAGAAAGGTGATTTAGTGTTTGTAGAGGACGATAAAAGGAGAACAGACTGGCCTATGGGCTCATGTGATCGAAACATACCCAGGAAAAGACAACAACATCAGAGTGGTGAAAGTAAAAACATCTAGTGGTGAACTGTTAAGACCAGTTCAAAGACTATTTCCAATGGAGATAGACAATAAAGAATCTATCTTCGAGCTTAAAACTACTGAATCATCCACATCTTCGAGAAATACTGGTAAAATGAATGATTTAGTAATTGATACCAAAAACTGTGAACTTGAAAATTCTGATAAAAACATTCAGTTTAGTAGATATGGCAGAAAAATTGTGAAACCAAAGAACTTTAATTAGTTTAATTTTGTTTTCAGTACCACTATTAGTTTTCTTTATTCCTTTCTTTGAATTTAAACTTTGTATACAATTTGATTTTCCAGTTTAGTGAATTAATCTCTTTGCTAGTATTTTTCAGAAAAGAATTTTTTGCCTGTTGTTTTAAGAATGTAAGTTTGCAGAACATTAAGTAAGTTAAAAATATTCAAGATATTTGTTATGCCTAGATAAAATTGTTGATTTGGTAAGATTTAAATTACTCATCTTATATTCCTATTTCAATTTTCATTTCACAATTTTTCATACTTTGTCAAAAATCAAAAGGTGGGAGAAATGTTACAACTCGAACGTGAAATGAGCGAAAGTTTCTCTTCATCCAGTGGCAACGGGGAGTCGAAAAACGAACTCGGAAGAGAGCGGTCGCTCATTCGATTTCTCTCGATAGAATTTGATACGAAGGGGGGATAATCCCCATCTTTTGATTTGAAATTAATCTCGAATTATGTATATATTGTAATATAAAAGATGTGTGTAAATAAAAGTCATTAAGACTTAATTGAAGTAGTGATTTGAATCGAATATAGAAATTGAAAGATCTCCCAAATAGAACTATGGATCATAGAAATAACACCCTCCACATGTTGCTGTACGGGTGCAACAGATGCTACGACAGAAATTCACAACAGAAAGAGTCATTAGCCGCTACTTTCCAACTGCATGACCACTTCGGTTGCCTGATCTTACCCCATGCGACTTCTGGCTATGGGGTTTCCAAGGTCTATCAAGGAGTGGTCCAGGACCTGGCTACGTTGAAGGATAACATATCACGGACTGTACAGGAGATTCCTGAAGACATGTTACTTTCTGCTGTTGTGCATACTGTGCACAGAATGCAATATGTGGTCCACAACAACGGCAGCCACATTGAACCTCATTTGAATGCAAAATAAAAGGTAATTTCCGTGCTGATTTGCATTTGTTAACACTCTATTTTCTATTACACAGCACCAAGTATTCCCCTAGCGGTGACTTTTGGAATTAATTTGTTTTTTTCGCAGAATCCTTCGTCCCCCGTCTTGTTTAACCTTCCTACAAAATGTGGCGTCATTCTCGCAAATAGATAATGCTACAGAACACTGTGAGCACTTTCAGTTTAATTATGGCCACCCGGTACAACAAGCAAGATTGATTCACCATACTTCCTTTTCCTAACTGTGTGGTAAACAATCCATTGTATATTAAACATTAAAAAAAAATGCAAATATTCAAGCATTGAAAATATTTTAATACCTCCGTGTACTATACCGATATCCCACTGTAGATGGGGCTATATGCAAAGCTATTTATTTATATATTATTATTTCTATATTATTTGTTGTGCATGGCAATGCCATCTACAAGGGAGAACCACATTTCATGGGGATTCCCCAAAATGCCCTGTTATATGTTCGTAACTTTAGTGTACATGTCTCCTTTTTATTGCTGATTGTTTTCTACTTTGTTTTTTTATGCACATTGTTATTTTAGTCTCAAAATTAGTTTCTCAAGTAAAAGACAAGGAATCTATAAATTTACACTAACTGGACAGAATCATATTGTTTCGCCAATTTTAAAGTGTTTGTTTATGCTGCAACAATAGCACTGCAATGCTGAAAAAACATAATGTTGAATATCACGTCAGACAATACATGCCACATTTAATATGAAAAATTCATTTAAATGTGAAGTAAGAAAGAAGACAATAAATCAGCTAAAATCAAACCTGTATGTCCAACAGTCATTTTTCACTAAGTTTATAGTAAAACCTAAAAAAGCCATTATGTTTTCTTTCAAAATTTCTCATCCCAGATTTCACTAAGAGGAAAAAAACCTTTCAAGGGTGGTGAATTTTTTAATGAAGGGTTTAACCAGTGCCAATTGCTTATTCAAGGGATTTCCTAATAAATGCGAGATTATTATTGGCAGTACAAGATTTACAGTTGTCAGATTACATTGTCACAAGAGTAATTCATGTCTTTGGCAAAAGACATGCAAATAATAGTTAAAGTGTTATTGAAATATGTGATAGGTTTTCACTATAACTTTTGAATTTTATGGATAAATCAGGCTCTCCACTGTTAGCAGTTACAGTAAGAATGGTATTCACTAATTTTATTGAGGTACTATTCTGTTAGAGCAGCACCAGTTAAAAAGGAAAATAAAAATGAGAAGAAAATGCTAAAGGAGCACGCCAAATATCGAGGCTCGAGAATTTAACGTTTGAAATATTGTGGCTTGAGATTTCCAGTTTTCGTTTGAAATATCATCACATGTTACTTTTTTTACCATATTTCAACATTTTTTGTAGTACAATGGACAACACAATTAGGAAACTACCTAATGACGAAAAGGCTGCCATGAGATGCCTTGAAAGACAAAAGAATAATCTCCTTTGAAGACAAAGGAATAATTCATAGCAATTGACGTTGTTCTCAAAATAATTCCATGAAGTTAACTTTTGACTCAAACAAAGCTCCTATATACTGTTGTTATGTACATTCTTGCTGTGAAAAAAAAAAAAAAAAAAAGGATTGAGATCCAAAACACGGTTTGAAGGCTGTCATCTTTCTTAACTTAATGCCATTCATTTTATCCATCTGTGGTGTAAGGAATTGACATCGATTGAATTCTGTCAACTTCAGTTAGAAATCACCCATAATACAACAGTACATTGGAATAACTACACTGGTTATCATAAATTAAGGAAAAATCACAAAAATAGCGATAACTCCCTCAAAAATAAGCCAAACCGTGTAAAATTTGAATATGTTGCCGAGTAAGAGTAGCTGAGTAAAACTGCAATATGCAAATTAGTGGCGCTGCACTCAGAATATGTCATCTGCGAGGAGAATAAAAGCTCATGTTTGAGAGCAAGCCCACATATATCACTGTGACAGTGACATCAGAAATCTGCTATACCCAATTCGTAACAATGACCCCCAGGCATCATTTGCCTGTAGAACTACGATGGAGAGCCATTGGGAGACTAGAGGCAGGATAAAGTCAAGCAGAAGTGGGCAAATGGCTAAATGCGAGTCCTTCTGTGGTTCATAGACTTTGGAGGCGATTTCAAACCACAGATTCGGTATCTAGGTGGTTAAGCCAAGGACAGCCAACTGCTGCGACGAGTGCTGATGACCGATATTTGACATTATGTGCACGCAGGAATAGAAACGCTACTCCGACTCTTCTTAGATCCTCCCTTGCTGCAGCCACTGGAAGGTTGGTGTCAACATCAACTGTGCATAGAAGGCTTCACGTAGGTGGTCTGTATGCGAGACGACCAGCCATTTGCGTGCTGCTCACGTCACGCCATAGGAGGGACCGTTTGCAGTAGGCACGATACATGTCCACTGGACGCTTGATCAGTGGAGGACTGCTCTCTTTACAGATGAGTCTAGCTTTAGTCTAGAAAGGGAAAGTAGGCGTTATTTGATATGGAGAGAACCTGGAACCCGTTATCATCCGTTAAAGAGATGCATACGGAAAAGGCAGTGTCTGTGTTTGGGGTGGCATCTCTTTGGGTGGACGCACAGACCTCCATGTCTTTCCAACGGAAACCGTGAATGCTCTGGTTTATAGAGATGACATCCTTGATGCTTATGTGCGCCCATGTGCCGGGGCAATAGTGATGCTTTCCTGTTACAGGACAATAACTCAAGACCACACAGGGCTCGCATCGTAGATGATT